AGGATGTCATTTTCTCCTCCAGCACGTGGTTCTTTTCCACTTACCTCTCCAAGATTTTACCTGTTGATTTGAAAGAAAAAAAATGACGCGTCAAACCGTTTTCAAGTTGAACTCAGAGCTACCTGCGTAAATGTTCGACCCGGAGTGTTTTGAATTGAAAAAGAAGCAAAAAAAGTTATTGTTTCGTTCGAGGATGAAATGAAGAGTTACAGGAAAGTAGATTGAGTGATATTCTAGACTTTGAAATACTGGTTAAATGATTTGACAGGATGTCATATTTTCTCTTGCAGCACGTGGATCTTTTTTCACTTGCCTCTCCAAGATTTTACCTGTTGATTTGAAAAAAAAAAAATGACGCGTCATACCGTTTTCAAGTTGATCTCAGAGCGACCTGCGTGAATGTTCGACCCGGAGTGTTTTGAATTTAAGAAAAAAAAAAGTTTTTGTTTTGTTCGAGGAAGAAATGAAGAGATATTACAAGAAAGTAGATTGAGTGATATTCTGGACTTTGAAATACTGGTTAAATGATTTGACAGGATGTCATATTTTCTCTTGCAGCACGTGGATCTTTTTTCACTTGCCTCTCCAAGATTTAACCTGTTGATTTGGGAAGGGTTTTAATACATTGTTTCTAAAGGAAATTCAGGTGGGGACTTGCAACAATAAAAAAAAAAGATCGACTTTGGGAGGTGTTAAACTTTTCGAGGTTCAACTTTCGCAACAAAACGGTATATATGCACAGAACTGTACCTTTGTTGTCAAAGAGCACAATGCAGCTCTCGTCGGCCTGCACACCCTGCAGACGGCCATAGTAGGTGATGTTGCTGCCCACGAGGCTCTCGTCGTTGTCGTCGAACTGCTTGCACGGGTCCTCGTTGGTGGCCCGAGCTCCTGGGGCTGCTGGCCCAGTTGAGCTGGCCTCATTCTTGTTGTTGTTGGTATCGCCACCTGTGTTGACGATCCGATTCGTTGACCAGCCGTCCAGGTCCGAGCACACGTAGCAGTCGTATGCCATCACTCGGGATGCTGCATGTGTACAAAGGGTTGGTTCATAAGTCTTGAGACTTAAAAAAAAACGACATCCCACAGAGTTTCAAAAATCCCTAAAGATGTTTTTGTTTTACTCGCATAGCCCCAATCATTTGGAAAGATTTAAATTCCTTTCAACATATCATTTGCCGATTTCAATGCATTTTATCATGCGATGAATCATCCAGTACATACAACAGAGTTTCAAAAATCCCTAAAGATGTTTTTGTTTTACTCGCATAGCCCCAATCATTTGGAAACATTTAAATTCCTTTCAACATAAATTTTCCCGATTTCAATGCATTTTATCATCCAGCAATGAAAACAGTGCCAAAAATCGAGTTCACTTTGCTGATTAGGCCCCCTGAGACCCGTACATAATTACTATATAAAAATCACAGGATAGTGCACAAGCTGGAGGTGCCCAGCCACACCTGGGCATCATCAATGCTGAAAATCCGTAGTTAATTTCGAATTGCTTATCAATCTGGATTACTTTTTTTTTTAAAGCTTTTCCACACATGCCAGAATTTTCGCGTGAGCAGGAATGAGCAAAATTGGTAAGCATGAATTATTCATGTGCCATGAACCCAAAGGCACTTATTTATAGTGGTTCTTAGCAACATCCTCTAATCTTTCACAAAAATCTACGTAGAAGTTTGAAAATTTATCAATTATAAAATTTGAGAGTGGAGGGGTTTTGCATGAATAATTGGATTTAATTGGTGCTTGGACAGTGTTTGTGTGTCAGATTGTCCTCATGCTGGATCATATTTTCCTATGGACTTCAACGGCAGCTTATTTCATTGGTTTTCCAGCTTATCAAACACTCGGAATAAGTCCCCAAAAAAATTGAAAGAAATCTTTTTTTTTATGTTAATGAGGTACAGGAAATGAAGTGTGTAGTGGATAACCATACGGAATCTGTTTTTTTGCATAAAAAATAAAGCTCAAGATGCAAAGAACTAGAACAATTCGTGCTAATCTAAGTGCAAAGCTGATGAGAAAAACTCTGAAAAAGATGCACAAGATCAGCCTGTTTTATGAAAACATGAACTTGTGTGAATTTATAATTTAATTGATTTCATTATTTTTGAATATAAATAGCTCAATTCTTTCAAGGGATTCCCAAATTTTGAAAAATGAAATTTTTTCATTTCTCTAGAAATTTTGAGAAAGTGTCTGTGTGTATATGTATCACAAGATGCTGTCCGGATTTTGGGCATATTTTTTTTAAAGTGTCCCCAAGTTAAATCGTCTATATTCGTGGGCCCCACTGTATTCAGTAAACCTTATTGTCACTGAGGTTGAGCATGAACTTCATCAAATTTATATAGACTTATAGAAAGCACTTCTGTGACACCATTGGAGTGTGTTGAATTAATTTAACCGCACATTTTGTTATTAATTTAAATTATTTAAATTGTGTTGCATATTTTCAACAAAGACTGTCACTCCTCCCTTCGAACAAGGCCTTAAAATTTAAACTGTTTTCGAAATTTCTTGAATTAAGCACCTTGCGATGTTTGCCAGAAATGAACAAAGAACTCGCATTTATCCTCGTAAATTTCATCAGAATAAATTTGCAGTCCCTTAAAAATCAATTCTGTAGGTGGACTAATTCGGTGCATAAAATTACTGCGTATTACGTGTATAGCAAAAAATTGGCTCTCTCTCTCTTCGATGGAAACAGTATTTGAAACTTGGATTAAGCTTGTTATGTTCAAGCAATCGACTCAATTATCGACGTGTGCCTCGTTGTTGACTCGAATGCTTGAATGAGCAAGAAAAACACGTGTATTTTTAGGGAATCCTCGTGACGCGCAAAACACCAGCACTGTTGTTTATTTGCCTGAAGGGGTTATTTAAATTGTTTTCTGCATCACGTGCCAAAAGTCACCATTTTAACTTCCCGGAAAACCAGAAAAAAATAAATAAAATGCGCATCAAATTTCGTCTGCAATTCTTGCAGGATTAAAAAAAGAAGAAATTTTGGGAAATCACCGATTAAATGAGTAAAACTGTCTTCCTCTCTTTATTCTACATTCTACAATTCTGCACGTTTTTCAAATGCAGAGAAAATTTAAAGAGAAATGCAACACCTTGAAAACTCACTTGAAAAATAGCCGCAGAGCAAGACGGAGAAAAGAGTGAGGGAAATTCGCGATTCGACCAACATTTTTCAATTATTCTTTGCTGTAAAAAGCAATACTGTACTGTATCAATTTTCAACTTTTTTTCCCTCACACAAACTGTTTTCCATGCACGAACAAGAAGAAAAGACGGTCTGAGGTCTGATGCAACCGAGGAAAAAACCCCTCTTGTGTTTAAGTAAGCACCTTATCAGGTGCAAAAATCCGGTTGTGCGTGTTTCATTTGTTTAGTTGCACGTCAGTCTTTCCTTGTATATTCGAGTAAACACGCACGAAATGTATAAAATAAGACGGAGATAAATTTCAAATCTGCGTCATTCATTTTTTATTTTCTTTCAATTTTTCGTCGCATTTTGTTTGTTTGTTTGTTTGTTTGCTGATGCAAAGCTGTGCGAAGAAACAGGTGTGACTAAAGTATGCGTGTCTGATATGTTGGGGTTCTGCCCCAAAATCAGGTACCCTGATGCATACTGTCCTATTCATTCTCTAAATTATATTTAAAATACGAGAAGTCCGAACAAAGCTCAGTTGGCGTCAATTTTCCCTTGTGATTAGCATGCAAATCCGCGTCGGAAACGTGATTCTGACTTGGAAACATGGAGCAAGAATCGTTCTGGTTAACATTTGAATGCAAATCGCAAGTCCTTTTCTGCCGGCATTCTATATATTAAGCTCATCACGTTTTATGTCTTTCGCGAGCCTGACATATATTTTTAATATATATATATATATATATATATACGAGGTTTCTAGCAAAAGTTCTCGGAACAGAAATTAAAATGGCATATAACGTGCTGAAAAAAATTATTCTTTAGGGATAACATATTCCTTGGCACAAATAAAAAATCAGCCCTATTTGAAAATTTTTTTAAAGGGCGCCTCATCTTCTGAGTGGAGAGCAAAACTCTGCCCGGGTGAATTTTGCAAAACGAATTCAAAAAAATTTGTCAAACGGGGCTGATTTTTTCTTTGTGCCAAAGAATATATTTTCTTTGAAGAATAAATTTTTTAAGCTCAGTTTTATATGCCATTTTAATTTCTATTCCGAGAATTTTTGTTAGAACCCTCGCGTATCCATTTTTTATTTATTTTTTATTTCCGCTGGTATTATATTTAGGAATGCCTTAAAATTCCGGAAATAATTTTCGTTTCAGCCATTTTCGTGTCGCAGCTTTCCGTTTTATTGACTGTTTCATCGTCAATATACTGTACTGTAAACACTGATCGAAAACTTATGTAAATGTGGCCATGTTTGATTCGAAATGCTGTTGGGGGGGTCGACATCCTTTTTCGTACAATTTGAAAAGCGAAATGGTCAAGAGTCTCTTTACGCATGCGTTCTGTTCATCATGGCTCTTGTGTTATCGAGTCAAAGAGAAGGTTTAAATTATGCGTATTTTTCTGAGCGAGTTACTTTTGTTGTTGTTGTTGCAAGTATTCAGGATGTGTGAATTTATCGTGTCTTCCGTGAATCATGGTGTAAGTGAGAATAATTCCATTTTCCAGGTAGAGACGATCGGAAATTGAACAGCGCACCAAGTTCATGTCTTGAAAAAGCTCTAAATGCAGCGATTTTGCTCTAAAATACATTTTTTGATCTCCGTGCAAATAAACCAGGGCCAGGCGATCATTCTTTTTTAGCACACGTAACGATTTTTGCGAAGGTTTCTGAGCGTTTTAGTCCATGACATATTTATTTTGTGGCTCTTGAAGCATCCATTTTAATGAATTTTTTGTGAAAAAAACCCCCAGCGGGACAACGATCGATGTTGAATCGGAAGATCATTTGATTAAATCGCGATTTGTCCCATTTGACTCGGATCATAGGGGAAAATACGATTGATTTTCGTTTTTCTTTTATAATTCTTGTTACTCGCCAGTCGAATGATTTTTTTTTTAAGCATCGGCGAGGTCAAGGGTTCTGATGGATTTTCGCTCAACGAAAAAAGTTTCAAGTTAGTTTATGTACTTAATTCTGTTTTCTTGTTGGTGTTATTTTCCACTGCGATTTTATCGGTACTTTCAAGTACCATTTCTTTGCATTATGCATGCGGATGTCGCTCGTGAATCTGCATTCAGACAGTTTTAAATGTAGCGAAAAATCTGCTGTCTCATGCGATTTAATGCGGAGTCTCGTTTCTTTTCTTCAGTGCAGTATTTAATTTAGAAATAAAGATGCAAGTTGTAAATTTACCCCGTGTTAATTGATTAGAGCTGATGGATCAGTGCTCAATGAAAATTTGTACACGCGTAAAATTGACAATCTTCACGTTGATCCAGGAATGTCTGTTCCCTTCTCGAATGTTTTCTTCGCCGAATTAGCATTTCAAGTAGAAAAAAAAAGCCCAGATTTGATTTAATTTCTTTTCGTATGCTTGATAGTCAGCTTTTAGAGTTACTTTGATCAGTTGACTCAAAAGTTTGGTTTTCTTGATTGAAAATCGCAGTCAGTAAAACAGTGGAAATAACTAGAGTATTTTTTTCAATACTGAAACACAGTATTGAAAAGTTTTCCAAAACTAAAGCTGCGATTGTGTTTGTTGAGGAAAATTCCTAAAGGAGTATCCAGTAATTATTTGTCTGTCGTCATTGCATGAACTTTTGAATTGACCCAGTTCATGGCGTGTTCCCAGCTTTCCGGTCCCCGGGTTCGAAATGCCTTCTGGTCAGTAAGTAATAGTACGTTCAAGGGCTGGTTCAGCTCTGAAGGATTCAGGATCGTGAAAGTACTAATTTTACGATTCTGGTTCTCTTCCT